AATCAAATCGTATACGTGGAAATATATGAGTGGGAGTATCATGTACAATGAGTTAGTATAACATTGGACCACGAAATATTTAACCTCTCTTTATAAATTTGATAATTAAGAAGATTAATATTTTACAGACTAGTCATATGTGAGTTAATCTTAATTCTGAGTGAGTTATGAACTTCTACTTGCGAGGGCTTGTCGTTTGATTTGCAAGGGTGAGAATAAATTTTGTAGCCAATTCAATATGCATATCATTTTGGGGGATTGACCAGATAGGGAGCTGGGAACATAATTTCACGAGATGGAATTCACTGTTTCCCATGTAGAGTAAGTAGTTGAGTAATTTTCTTAATTTCTGATTTTGAGACTTGAACAATGGGCCCCAACCCGGCCCCAACCCTCTCACCGGAGAGGGACTTAGTTTTGATTAGATCATACACAAAGTGTTCATTAGACAATTAGTGGTACTTAAGGGAAAAGATGTAATTACAAGGGTAAAATGGACTTTTAACCAAGCTGTAATTACAAACAACTCACGAAGAATCAACTTGCTTATAATGATTATATCAATGAACACAACTTGTTTTGTAGTGCATAAGAGTTGAGCTATAATTCTATAGTGAAATGACCTACCGTTAATGAACATAAATTGATTAATTAAATAGCTTAATTAATTACTTTTGTATCATTAGAGTTTACAATCAAGGCCCTGGTGTGCTGGGACGAGGTAGGCAAACGTGAACTATTAGGACCAAAGTTAGTCCAAGCCACCAATAAAGTCAAAAAGATCAAGGCAAGAATATGTATGACTTAGAGTAGATAGAAGATTAACGCTAACGTGAGATGTTGAAACTTAGAGTTTGATGTAGAAAATGAGATATTATTGAAAGTGTTCTCGATGAAAGACATCTTAAGGGTCGGACAAAAGGGCAAGTTAAGCCCATGCTTTATCGGACCCTTCGACATTCGAGATCTAATTTTGTTTATGGTATAAACAAAATGTCATGGTATTTAACGCTAAGCTATGTTATATTATGACATGCCATGATATGTTATAATATGCTATGATATGTCATGATATCTTTTAAAATAAGAAAATCTATGATACACAACCTCCTTATGGCATGTCATGGCATGGAAACTATGTTATGTATGAAATAATTTATAAGAATTATGTGTGCAAGATTTAACATGTCATGAAAGAAAGGAGGGTTGTCATGCATCATTTATTATGGCATGATGGAAAGTATGAGGATGTCGTGTATAATTGTGTGTTCACGGGTATCAAGAACTTTCACATTATGATGAGTAGGAAAGCGTACACTATGAGATTGGTTATGATGTTTATGTTCGCCATAAGGATACGAGACTTGCTATTCTCTCCGAGTGTCCAGCAATAGCCCGTCTGTGAGTGTTAGCCCGACCAGTAGGTCTAGGGAATGTGCGAACCTGCTTGGTGGGTCCACGTCCACGTGTGGGTTGTGTGTAGAGAAGTAATACACATCCAATTTAGCTCAGACTGAAAAGTCGCCTAAGAGAATGAAATGATATTTTAAATGATAGATTTCACCATGTTGCATGTGACTGCATTTCACGACCCCAATAGTGGTCACTTATTGAGTATTTCAATAAATACTCAAGTCATGCGCTACTTTTACATTTTAGGTAAAGACAAGGCACCCTTATATGTATTTCGGCGACGTTGTGACAAAGGCCATGGAACCAGCTACATTTATGTTTAATTTGTAGCTCGTAGCTTATATCAGGGTATTGTGTTATTCTTCTCTTTATTTATTTAAATTTTCGTTTAGTATTAAAGATTTTATTTTCAAACGGCTTAAGCCCATAACATCATTTATGAACTATTTTAAATGACGTATTCCACACTTTACAGTCACGTCATGCATGTCGTAGCAACTCTATTTCAGTTGAAACATAAGGTCGTTACATCTATGCCAAACTTGACAATTGCGCAATACACTCTCATTCATCTATGTTCTTCCGATATTCGATCTTCGTGCCTTATACCTCAATAAAAGGATCGAGATTTGGCAGGTGGTAAACTTAATCTCCTTTGATTTTTATTTTGATTTCGATTTGTTTGAACTCAATTTTAATTCCATGGAGTTGATTTTTCCACATTGTCGTGGAATTTTGTGGTTGTCCCAACCTGACCAAGGAAGGAGAAGAATTGTCGTGACGGAGAGAGAAGGAGAACCAACAGTGAATTGCATAACTTCTTTAGAAATCGTATAATGAACCACTGGGAGAAACACACATTGAACGTCATTGAACGTTGGATGTGCTTTGAGTGTAGCCAATCATCAAACTATTTGAGTAAGATTAGCTGGTTCAGTTCACTTAAACCAATCTCTTTATTATTATTGGTGGGAATGATTTTAATTAAAAATAAAGTGAATTATTTTGAAAATAAATGAAAAACAAGTAAACAATGGATCATTTATGCAACAAGAACATATTCAAACCAATAATATTCATACACTCTCCAACGTGATTGAGTATAATTTTAAAATGTTGTGATTTTATATTTTTAAATACAATTTTTATATCATCAAAATAAATTTTAAATTATTTAATACATATTTTATAGTAATTTAAAAACCCAAACTAATGATTGTGAAGTAGGTTTTCTTTTTTAAAGAACGAATAAAAAGATTATTTTTTACCATTTACATGACCGTCTCTATTTATATCATAAATGAATCTCATTTTTTTAAAATATTAGTAAAAAAAAATAATAAATAAATAAATATGTTTTACTCAATCAAGATGGGAAGGTTTTCTCCTAATGAAAGAGACACGAGAGTATAAGACAATGAGTACCACAAACTTTCGCATCTGGACTTAGTAAAACACATTTATTTTCTATTTTCTTGGACCCATCTTTTAGAAAAATCATAACTATTCTCTTGCATTATGACATATACTCATAACAATCTACCTATTTGTTTCTTCTCATGTTCTTGCTCTTGACCTTAGAACTTGGGCTTTTAGGTTCTTGAGTCCTTAGTTTTTGTCATGATCTTACCTAATGACTTTGGTCTTGGGTTCTAAAGTCTTAACCTTGGTTCTGATATAAGGTTCTCGGTTTTTATTCTTAAGACTTAGATCTTGATAGAGGTTCTAGTTTTTATTCTTGGTTCTTGTTTTGTTTCCCTAAGATACTCCCCCTGAGATGTAGGGTACAAGACATGAACTTGACAATCTATGTCCAACCCTTCATGTGTTTCAAGCGACATAGTTTTAACCCCACGTCCAAAACTTCATGCGTCCCAAACGAAGTAATCTGAACATACATCTAGAGCTTCATGTGTTCCCTGCGATATAGTCTAAAACCCACACCCAACAGAGGAGAAGAAATGTCGTGATGGAGAGAGAAGAAGAACCAATGGTGAATTGATAATTAATGACCATTGTAATAAGTTTATTCTTTTTACACTTTTCTTTCCTATTTATTAAACCTTATTTTGAAATGGTTAAAGACATTCTATTTTCATTTTGATTAAATAAATAAACGGCTAGAAGTAACATTCCCAGAATTTGTTTAATCCCCGTGGCATTCATTCACCTTGGGTCTGTTTGGTTGGTAATGAATCTTTATTGATCATTTTGAAATGAAATTGGAATATAATTAAAATTAATTTGTGTAATTGAGGAGAAACAAATGACTAGAGAGCGAGATATGCAATAATGCAAGAGAATAGTCCTGACTTTTCTAAAAAAAATGGGCCCAAAAAAATAGAAAATAAATGTGTTTTACTAAGTCAAGATGTAAATGTTTGTGGTACTCATCCATTTTATGCTATAGTGTCTCTTTCATTAGGAGAAAACCTTTCCATATCAACGAGCAAAACATATTTATTTTCTTTTTTTTTTTTTTTTT